ATGCATGTAAACTGTACTTCAAAGTATAATTGACTGGAAGTTCCTCCAAGCCAGAGAAAAAAGCTAATGCACCTCACATCAAGTTAAAGTTTTAAAACAAGTCAATCAGTTGGGCGTCTAACACAAGTCAATCAGTTGGGCGTCTAACATAGGCACATAGCTAAAAAATCATTAACCAAAGCAGAAAAAGTATGGCGTGAAATACCCTATATATTTACAAGAAACATCCACTAACCTCCTGAACAAACCATTTGATAAGTTCACATTCCGCAATGCCTTCACCAGTTTGCGCCAGAGGTATATCAATTATCCCACCAACAGGAATATCCAATGCAGCTTGAGTTGAAAAACCACACCCTCTTAGAGTAAATGAAGCATTTGACTGCAAAAAATATTGGCATAAACAATAGGTAAAAACAATAGAATAACCAGATTTTGCTAACCTACCGAGAAAATAACTTCTCAAATCATATTGCAAGAAACCTGCATCGAGAACTTCTGATAAGTTTAACAAAAACTCAAGCAAAACAGACGGAACATGTTGCACAAAGAAAACACGCGAGCTACCTTTTAAAATTAGGAACTAATTCCATGATCTAATCAACTTTGGTGAAATGCTAGTATTAAACTACTAATGATCCTTCAATATTAACACCACTGTATAAAAAGAAACACCAACTTTAGAAACTATTATGATATGCTGTTTGGACTGTTCCAAGCTGTCTACCAGTGTAGGATCCTTCAAAAGTAGTATTTTTTTTTTTTTTGAGAATCCAACACATAGTGCAGCAACATCTGTGAAGAGTCCGAGCAACATAGCTATAGTGACACTGATTCCAAATAACCCAGAATCATGATATTCCCATATCCAATATATGGGGGATAAGGGAAAAAGGAACAAAAAGCAGGCCTACAAGATTCCCCTTTGAATATTCAGTTTGACAAGATCAACAAAAAGTACCACACAAACACATCATGCAAGTTACCCTAAATTATTTTGGAAAAACAAACAATAGTATAACAAAATTTTATACAAAGAAGAAAAATTGTCACCTTAGTATATGAGCAAAACGGCGTCGTATAGTTTCTAAGAAAGTGAAGTTGAGACTGAATTCTCTTGCCACTACATACAGTAGAAGTAACAGGCGTCACCGGAGTTTCAACGGAAGACTGAAACCACCGGAAAATGGTCTGCCGGAGGGCGGAATTCCGGAGCTTACCTTGATAAATTTTCCGGCAAATCATGGTAATTGAATTGATGAGAATGTAATTGGGATTCAATTATTTATTGGGTCAGAAAATCAATAGTTGTCCAATTAAAATTTAATTTGGACAACTATTGTGTGCTGTTTATAATTTCTTTGCGTTGACCAAAATTCAGCCGAATTTTTACTCTTGCAATTTTCAGAAACTTCACAACATGATTTGTTTTGTTTTGGGAACGAGAAATGATGGATTGTTGCAGCAATGTGACCAACTTTTATAAGTGAAAAAAAAAACTCCTATGATACTAATCTTTGTATTTTGTGTTTTGTTATTAATCCAGTGACATATTTTTGAAACACATATCTTACTTTTTCTTAGAGGTGACACAAAATAAGTTATTTTCGAGAAATTCCGACCTCAAAAAGAATGTACTTCAATATTTTTAAATGTTTACGTTCACACGAAATTTTAAAGGGTAACTTACATAATTTTCACTAGTTTAGGAGTTAATTACTTAGATACACGCTAGTTTGCAATATTATAAATTTTATTAGATTTTGGTGCATTCAAATACATCTATCTCGGGATATATGACGTTAAAATTAGATGTTTTGTTCTAGATACATTGTATATAAATAGATTTACATGTATTTAAATATAGACAAATCTCGCTCGCCTCCATCACATCTTACTCATCATTCTCATATTTCACTCGTGTATCTGATATCCTAAATATATGTGAATCACACTAGATACATATATATAGTTTGTATCTAGTGTGATTCGCATGTATCTAACTTGAAATTTGATATGAAATTATAAAATAAAAAAACAAAATATAGTTATTTCAAATTATAGAATTAGTATATATGATAAGAATGTTTGTGTAATTAGCTCATTTCTCCAAATTTAAAAGGTTTTGTGATGGATTAAAGTATATGTTACATAAATCAAGTGGGAAAAAAAGTACTCTTCATCATCCAGCATTAGTTGATCATCTTACTAAAAATAGTTGTCTCGTATTAGTTGTTCACCTTACTAAATCAAATTAATTAAATTTGTCTATATTATCCTTACATTAAATTCTTTTGAAAGTGTTCACATGTGTTTATAAAATTTCCAAGAACTTTTTTAAGGAATAAATTAGTAAAAAATTATCTTCTTATTCATGATTTCTTAATATAGAAATAAAAATAATCAACTGAAAGAAAAGAAGTATACTTTTCTTGAAAAATAGCTATTCCTTATTTCCTTTAGTGAGGGGAAATATTATTACGAATTATATTGAATAATATATTGTCAAGTGGTGTTTAAAATAAAAGTTGTTTAAAGGGGAAAATATAAAATATATTCTGAAATTATTCGAACAAGTCGACTCCACGTTCCAGATTTTGATTAGTTGAAGTGTTAAGTTAATTTATTAAGTATTTAATGTATTTTTCCTTGTTTTTTTTTTTAAAAAAAAACTGCCTCATTGATACGAAAGAGATACATTTTGAAGTTTGTATTTATCCTTGTTTAAATGATAATGATCTCCCTTTTCTTCCTTTGAATATTAAGATGGTAAAATCCACGTGCGCTTATCTTAATTGAGATGTGCAACACACATCATCAAAGTTATCTACTTCTTCCAATTTTGCCTTATTTGGCAAATAAAGGGTCGTTTGGTTGGGAATAAATTATTTTAGGATAACTAATTTTGGAAGAAGTTATCTCAGATAAGTTATTTCATCATGTATACGAGATAACTTATTTATAAGTATGACAAAAATTATGGTATACTTATCTAATGACTACCTAATACATCTAACCAAATACGAAATAAAATATTCATTCATTTAATTATGAAATTATTGTACCTATACCTCACACCAAACGGGCAAGGACTGGTATACGAGAGGTAAAAGAATGATAATATAAAATAAAATATAAAATTATTTTATTTTGTGTTTAATTAAAAATATTTACTAGTTTTTAAAAATTATTTATTTCCTTATTTATATTATAATAATAAGATAAATAATTTTGAATATATATGATAGGATAACATTCGCATATCAAACGGTTCCTTAATCCACCATTTGATTTGGTGCATTAAGAAAAGCTATGTCTTTAACAATATTTAGTTATGTATTAGTAATCTTTGTATTGTTAATATTATAATTTACTATATATTTGTTATATATGCTATGATATTGAATAAGGTGTATAGTTAATAGAGCATATGCATTAGTTATATATTTGCAACAAATTTTTATAGCGCAGAAAATTAATTGCAGTCAAAATAAATAAAAGAAAAATGTGATTTTTATAGATGAATATTGTGAGTACAATCATGTTGTTCTCTTGATTCTTCTCTCCTAAATTTCTTCGTGATTCGAGGGCTGATAACAACGTATTTCTCGAATGTAGGATGTTAAACCTCCTTGAGATGTAAACCTCCTCGAACGAGGTAAAATTGACGTGAGTAGTTTTGCGTGCGCAGAAGGTAGCTTGGGGAAGAAGAAGGAGGAGGAGGAGGAGGTAGCAAAGGAGGCAAAATTGGCGTGAGTAGTTTTGCGTGCGAAGAAGGTAGCTTGAGGAGGAAGAAGAAGACAACAAATGAGGCAAAACTGACGTAAATAGTTTTGCGCTGAATTATATAAAATAAAAAAAAAGGGTTAGAAAAGTAATGGGGCATGAGCGCGCTTGTAAATAGTTTCACTTTTTGGGTACAAAAATGATTTTTTCCCTCAAAAAATTTAAGACACCTCCCTAAATATTTTGAGCAATTGACACTTTCCCTCCTTATTCTCAATTGAATAATTTAAATATTTATTTTACCTTCTAAATTTATCAATTTATAACTTTTTTTTTAACTTTTTTGAGATTATAATATTTTTTTCTCTTTTAATCTGTATTATGAACTTATCTATGGAATAAATAAATCTTATTTAAGAAGTAATTATGTGAAAATAGTTTTCAAGCATAGTATAATCTTGAAAAATAAGCATAATATAATCTTGTTTTTTTTTTTTTTTAAAAAAAGGCATTGCATGAGATTTGTTATAGGGGTTTTTGGGAGGGGTGGGTGGGTATACAATTGTTGAAAATTGAGAAAGATATTCAATTCTTAAAATGAAATCGAAGTAGAAATCAATTTTCACCCATAAATATTTTTCCAACTTTTACCGTAAAAGAATATATATTTCAATTATTCAACACTTGTGGCTCATGACTAAAATAGATCAGAATTGTAAAATGTTTCAATCCACATTTTAAATTTTATATGGCGCACAAATTTGTGCGCCATATATAAGAAAATTAAGTAATTTTCATTTGTATTGGTGGTTATGTTTAGGAAAAATAACTCAGTTGTTGATGCCTTCTAAATTAACTATACATATGTTCCATTGTAGTTTCTCTAGTTAATTATCATATTTTAAAAAAAAAAATAGGATAAAAGAAATATCCTTAACATATCTATTGGAATTGGATGATCAATATGATAATTAGTCAATTGAGTTGATAGTTAGTTAGCTAATTATACCGTATTGTATTTCGTCAAGTTAGTTAGGCAGTCACATCAAGTTGGTTAGTTAGTTAGATTCAATTATATTCTAGAAGTTTCCTAGTTGTGCATATATAACATTGTATACATGCCTTCATTTCCTAGTTGCATTGAATGAAGATTTCACTTCGTTAATTCTAACAAATCTTCCAGATTATCTTTCAATATGGTATCAGAGCTGTGAATTGAGACTGCAGTTCTTCTTTTCCGTCATTGAAGATCCTTTGTGGAAGCAGAGGACGAGATGACTACTGGAGAATTAGATGCGACTGGAAATGCGACCGTGATGCAAGCAGATACGCTTGAATCCATTGAGAAGAAACGAAATCACCCATTGTATCTTCATCCATCTGATACTCTTGCGACTGTACTGACCACAGTACAACTCACTGGTACAGAGAACTATTCTCTTTGGAGCAGATCTATGCTCATCAATCTTCGTGCAAAAAGTAAATTGGGTTTTGTGTTGGGAACATGTAAAAGGAGTGATTACAAGATGGAATTGGAGGAACAATGGGAGAAGTGCAATTGTTTTGTACTAGCATGGATCATGAACACTGTTTCGAAAGAATTGCTAAGTGGAATTGTATATGCTGATGATGCAGCTGAGGTGTGGAGAGATCTCAAGGATCGATTCAACAAGGTTGATGGATCTAGGATCTACCAGTTGCATAGAGAGATCTGCACAATACATCAAGGTAACTTGACTGTTTCTGGATATTATACGAAAATGAGACTGCTATGGGATGAATTTGATGCTTCTATGCCCCCACCATCATGTGACTGTGATAAATCGAGAAGCTACATAGATCATTTGGCTTACCTGAGGTTATTTGCATTTTTGATGGGACTGAGTGAAGTTTTTTGTCAAGCGAGAAGTCAGATTCTAATGATGAGCCCATTGCCTAATGTTAATAAGGCATATGCCATGATAATGGCAGATGAAAGCCAAAGGGCTACTGCAGGCACTCACTCTAGCAAGGACATGCTGGAATCAACATCACTATATGCAGGGAAGGGACAACATATTCAGAGGAATGTGAGATTTCCTCAAACAAAAAAGAAGAATTGGGATCAAATATGTGATTACTGTAAATTGCAGGGGCATGTTAAGCTTGATTGTTTCAAGTTAAATGGTTACCCTCCTGATTGGAAATTCAAAAAGAAGCCACCACTTGAAAGGCCTGGATCTGGATATGATCAAGGTATGACAGGACAAATGCAGGGAATGCAAAACACTGATAGGCAATATCAGGGAGCAACAAATCAAGTACGAGTTGATCCAGTACCAGATGGTTTTGCTCCACTACATAAACCTGCAGTTTCTCAGTCACAGGGATCACAAGAGGCACCATCTATAGCAGCTCAACACACTTTTACTCCACGACAATACCAAAGGCTCTTACATATGCTGGATAAGGAAGAGGCAACATCTTCAGGAGTCAATAGTGCAACCATGGCAGGTATAACTGGTCCTATCACTACAACATTATTTACTGGTGTAGATAAGGATAGTTGGATAGTGGATTCAGGGGTTACTTGTCACATGACTTCTAAGCTAAATAGATTAAGTTCTATTTCCAATGACATGAGTGGTATGGATAGGAGAGTGCACTTGCCTAATGGAGAGACCATTTCAGTCACACACACTGGAAATTATACAACACAAGCTGGTGATACATTAGAAAATGTATTGGTGGTTCCTGCTTTCAAATTTGATTTGCTCTCAGTAGAACAGTTGACCAGGCAAATGAATTGTTCAGTTAATTTTTTCCCTAAGTTTGTTGTCTTTCAGGACCTCTCAAATGGGAAGGTGAAGGGGATTGGTAGGGAGCTAGATGGGCTATACTACTTTCCCAGTCAACTACCACATGGAGGAGGCAAAAATGATGAGACATTATTGATGACACAGAGTGAAGTGTTGATGAATAAAATGTTGTGGCATAACAGAATGGGCCATCCTTCAGCTAAGGTGCTAAGTCAATTACCTCTGTCATTTAGTGATACAGATGACATTTGTAAAGATTGTCCAGTTTGCCCACTTGCAAAGCAGACTAGATTACCTTTTCCTTTGAGTTTGTCTAAAACTAGTAGTGTTTTTGAGTTGATACATTTGGATGTTTGGGACCATATAAAGTTGTTACTCATAATGGATATAGATTTTTCTTGACTATTGTTGATGACAAATCCAGAATGACTTGGATATATTTGTTAAGATTGAAAAGTGATGTGTTTTCAATTTTGCATTATTTTATTATCCTTGTCAAGACACAATTCAATACAACTGTTAAGAGGTTGAAATCTGATAATGGAGCTGAATTCTTCAATAATGACTGCAATGCACTACTCAGTTCTCATGGTATTGTTCATGAAAGCAGTTGTTCCTATACTCCACAACAAAATGGGGTGGCTGAACGTAAGCATAGACATGTACTTGAGGTGGCAAGGGCTCTTAGATTTCATGGCCATATTCCTATTAAGTTCTGGGGAGAATGTGTTCTTGCAGCTGTGTACTTAATTAATAGATTGCCTACACCAGTTTTGGGAGGAAAGACACCATATGAAGTGTTTCACAAGGTCAATGCCAAACTTGATCACTTGAGAACACTAGGATGTTTGGGTTATGTTACTAGACTGCCTAGAGGTGACAAGTTCCCAAGAGCAGATGTTTGTGTGTTTTTGGGGTACTCAGTCACTCAAAAAAGGTATGTCATATACAGTTTGAGTCAGAAGAAAATGATAGTCAGCAGGGATGTGGTTTTTAAGGAGCACATATTTCTTTTTAAAACTATGGTTACCAAAGAGCTTCCATTATTTCCAAAGATTGATCTGTATCATAATGATGATTTCGAAGATATTGTGATACCTCAAATACATGAATCACTTCATGAGGAGGTATTTCCTGAGATTGACATGCATGGTGATGATCTGCATGCAGCAGAACCTGAAGTAACTGTTGAGCTTGGTCAGCATGGTCCTGATGATGGGAATGATTTGGCTCATGTCCCAGCTGATGCTCATACAAGAACTAGACAGTCTCTTAGAACCTCTAATCCACCAATCTGGATGAAGGATTATGTGACTCAAGTATCTGACACAACTCATCCTTATTCACTAGGAAGGTATCTCTCATATCAGGATATTTCTCCTAGTTATGCATCTTACTTATTTAAGTTCTCTACAGAAGTTGAGCCTAAGAATTATGAAGAGGCTATCAAGGACAAGAGATGGATAGAGGCAATGAAGTTGGAAATCAAAGCTTTGGAAGACAATGGTACCTGGAAGTTAGTAAGTTTACCAGCAGGGAAGTCTGCCATAGGTTGTAAGTGGGTGTTCAAAATAAAATACCAAGCTGATGGGGAAATAGACAGATTTAAAGCAAGATTAGTTGCAAAAGGGTACAATCAAACTGAGGGTATAGATTACCAAGAGACTTTTTCACTAGTGGTGAAAATGGTTACTATTAGGACAATAATATCATTGGCTGCTGCTGAGCACTGAATGGTTTACCAAATGGATGTATTCAATGCATTTTTACAAGGGGATCTATTTGAAGAAGTGTACATGGAGTTGCCTAAGGAGTTCAAATTAGAAGGAGAAAACATGGTGTGTAAGTTGGTTAAGTCTCTTTATGGACTTAAACAGGCATCAAGACAATGGAATGCAAAATTGACTACTACCTTGTGCAATTTAGGATATATTCAGAGCCATTTGGACTACTCATTGTTTATCAAGAAGAGAGGTAAGGGGATAGTGATTATACTGGTATATGTAGATGATTTACTTATCACAGGAAATGATGCCACTCTGATAGAAGAAACAAAACATGTACTGCACAGTCATTTCAAGATCAAAGATTTGGGGGAACTCAAATACTTCCTAGGAATTGAGTTTCTTAGGTCTAACAAAGGGATAGTGATGAACCAAAGAAAGTATGCCCTGGAGCTAATCTCAGAAGTTGGTCTAGCTGGTGCTAAAACAGCTCCAACACCACTGGAATGCAACATGAAGTTGACCAGTGTGGAGTTTGATGAAGGAGCCAATAACAGTGATGCCTTGTTTACAGATGTTACACAATACCAAAGGCTTGTAGGAAAGTTATTATATCTCACAAACACAAGGCCGGATATAGCTTTTGCAGTACAATCCCTAAGTCAATTTATGCAGCAACCAAAAATTTCACACTGGAACGCAGCACTGAGGGTGATAAGATATATTAAGGGAGAACCTAGCAAGGGATTGTTGATGAGTGCAGACAAGAAATTTTCCCTCACAGGGTTTTGTGATGCAGATTGGGCTGCTTGTCCAAACACCAGGAGATCTGTCACTGGGTTTCTTTTGAAGTTTGGTGATTCTTTGATCTCTTGGAAATCAAAGAAACAAAACATAGTGTCAAGATCTTCAGCAGAGGCAGAGTATAGAAGTTTAGCTACTTTAACAGCTGAAGTAGTTTGGGTCACAAATTTATTTCAAGAATTGGGTGTGAAATTGATTGGACCAGCCAACATTCATTGTGACAGCAAGGCTGCCATACAAATTGCAGCTAATCCAGTATTTCATGAACGTACTAAACACATCGAGATAGACTGTCACTTCATCAGAGAAAGAATACAAAAGGGGTTGATCAAAACTTCATACATTCATACCAAGGACCAACAAGCAGATTTATTGACAAAGGCTCTAGGAAGAGTGCAACATGACATTCTAATTGACAAGCTCGGATTTCTGAATGTGTTCAATACATCCAGCTTGAGGGGGAGTATTGGAATTGGATGATCAATATGATAATTAGTCAATTGAGTTGATAGTTAGTTAGCTAATTATTTTGTATTGTATTTCGTCAAGTTAGTTAGGCAGTCACATCAAGTTGGTTAGTTAGTTAGATTCAGTTATATTCTAGAAGCTTCCTAGTTGTGCATATATAGCATTGTATTCATGCCTTCATTTCCTAGTTGCATTGAATGAAGATTTCACTTCGTTAATTCTAACAAATCTTCCAGATTATCTTTCAATAATATCATAAATAATTTTAAAATGCTTTTATTTCATCTATCAGATCAATATTTTTTGTTAAATTTAAACATGTCTTTATTAATAACAATAAAATAATAAGGCAATGGTAACATGAATTTTTGATTCATTTTAAGGAATATGACCCAACTATCTTAAAATACACTAACTAACTAGAGATTTGAATTATTTTTCTTCTCTTTTTAATAAACTAGTACCACTCTCAACGATAAATATTTAATTTCAACGAGTTTAAGTAACTAATTAAATGAAAGAAGAAAGGAAGAAAGAAGAATAATGGGAGAGCTCTAAGTAGAATAAGAAAGAGTAAAATAATCAAATGGGTCTTAGACTTTTTAGAATAATTGGGTTAGATTCTTGAATGGGTCAAAAAATTCACTGTTAATAAAAGATATTTATATATCTAAAAAAATCATTTAGTGCATGTTTGTTTTAATAATAGGAAAGAGGACATTTTGAACCATTTATGATTTTATTTTATTTTTTTCTCCTTCTTTATTCATTTATCAAATTATGATATTTTTTATTTTTTATCATAATCTGATTCATACTCAATTATGACTTCTTTTTTTCATTAATTTATTTTATTTTTCACTTCTTATTTTCCTCTCTTTTTGTTCATGTGATGTTTTATTATTATTATTTCTTATCATAATTAATTTTGGCTCTTTTATTTTTGAGTTTTTTTTTTAATAATATTTTTCAATTTATTTATTTATTTTTCCTTTTCTAAATTTTTCTCTCCATGGTCTAATTTTATTCTTTATCCTTTTTCTCCTTTTATCGTTCATTTTTTTCACTATCATCTAATTTAATACTCAATTTGACCTCTTTCTTTTTATTTTTCAATATTTTTATTTATTAATATTTTCTTCTAATTTTCTAGTTTCATTAATATTTTTGCTCTTTTTCTTTATTATTATTTTTCTTAATTTCTGGTGATTTTCATGGAGAACTGCTCCAATCTCATGAGGGCCTCCATGATACCATCACAATAAAGGAACTACTTATGATGTAACTAAGTATAAGAAAGAGGATGGAAAAGTTGTGAAGATGGTATTAAGTCGGAACTATTTTGGGTTGAGTTAATGTTTATTGATTACATATTGAAGATCGATGCATTCAATGTTTATTATCAAACTGTTTTAATCAATTGCTCTCACCAAGTATTGTCACATCATTTGTCTACCTATTCAAGATCGATTTTACCCCATATACAAATATAAACTATGTCTTAATAATATCTTTAAAAATTCAAATAATTTTAAAAAATAAAAATAAATTGTAACATTAATCTTCTCAAAGAACTTTCAAAGATGAGCTTTGGAGAAAGCCATCTTTCATCTTGTAATTTGATTATTTCATCTCGAGATTGTTAATCCCATGTTAAATATGATATATATAATATTAATCTACCAAAACAATGATATAAATAATCTTGAAATCAATTATATTTAAATATATATTTTTTGAAAATAATATCATGTTTAACTTAAAAGATTGTTATCCTAATCCTAGTACCAATTACTAACCCTTTATGGTGCTTATATGGCTATAATATAAGTTAAATTTTATAGAAAAGATATATAGTTATTGTTAAGTTATTATCATGTTAGTGAAATTATTACTATTGCATCAAATATCATAAATAATTTTAAAATGCTTTTATTTCATCTATCAGATCAATATTTTTTGTTAAATTTAAACATGTCTTTATTAATAACAATAAAATAATAAGGCAATGGTAACATGAATTTTTGATTCATTTTAAGGAATATGACCCAACTATCTTAAAATACACTAACTAACTAGAGATTTGAATTATTTTTCTTCTCTTTTTAATAAACTAGTACCACTCTCAACGATAAATATTTAATTTCAACGAGTTTAAGTAACTAATTAAATGAAAGAAGAAAGGAAGAAAGAAGAATAATGGGAGAGCTCTAAGTAGAATAAGAAAGAGTAAAATAATCAAATGGGTCTTAGACTTTTTAGAATAATTGGGTTAGATTCTTGAATGGGTCAAAAAATTCACTGTTAATAAAAGATATTTATATATCTAAAAAAATCATTTAGTGCATGTTTGTTTTAATAATAGGAAAGAGGACATTTTGAACCATTTATGATTTTATTTTATTT